CAAAGAATGTTGACTGGCTTCAAGATGGATTACCTGGAGTTCTAGTGAGAAGCCGTAACCAGTGGAGTTCAACCGTGTTTGTTGTGAGACAGTGGTGGATGGTTTCACAATATTGTGGATTAGTTAAAGTTAGATATTAACACCGCTAGATGCCCACTCAATGGTTAAAAGGTTAAGCGTTCGCGCTTGAAACCAAAGTCCTGGGTTTGGACCCCCAAATACTAGGGGTGCACACTGTTGAGGAGTCCCACATTAAGATGAAACGGTCGTCCGGTGCTTCCAGGTTTTCGATGGTGGCCTAACATTGATCCATTCATGATATTAATCTAAACTCAGCAATCTTGCAACCCTATACTGATAATACGGAAATAGTTAAATTGAAAGAAAAATCCCCAGCTAAAATGCATTCTTGTTAATTTTCAGAGTTATCATTTCAAGAAAATACTACTCCATTCAATGATTCCAAGATGTTTTTCATGCTTCTGTCACATCTAATACAAATCAAATTATGAAACAATCTAGTGCACTATTATTTCTTCACCAATTAATGATTTGCTTTTATGAATGAGAATCACTGATCTCGTTAGGATCCTACTGTTTATACGAATGAAAGTGATGTGACTAATTTAAAGCCCACAAATAAGCCAGTAACATAGGACAGCACAATTGAATAACAAATAACGTTATTCCAAATCAATAAAGTAAGACGTTAGGCTATGTGTGGAGAACTTATCCATGAGTGATATCGAATAACTGTTTTGTTGTACTGTGAGTTGACTAATGGATTCCCTCTCAGTATTTCAAAGGTAATAAATATATCTTAAGACTTGAAGTTCTTGAACATGTTTCTGTGTTGACTTATAGGTATGTATTAGTGAGAAGTAAATAGAAATGAAACAACTGTTCAATACTATCTGATTTTAAACGACTCCTCACTTAATATCTATCTGTGACAAAAACTATCTTCAGATTGTACTAATCTTCGAGATCCTTTCAACCTTGAAAACAGTTGAAATGGAAACGAATAAAAATAGATAAATTCGCAGAAACTCTACAAAAATGTCCATTATGATAAACTGATTACAGATAGAACGAAATCGCTATATATTGTCCACATTCCCAACCCTAAAAATCTGTAAAGAATATCTTTAACAGGGATATATTATCAATTATACTTTTTTTCTTTTTTTATGTTGGTAAGAAATACATCTGGGTTTTTTAAATACTTTTTAGATCTATCCACTATCGCTAAAACGTAATGATTAAAGTACAGACAGCTGATGCTACCTACTGTGTCGGCAGTTGTTCATTAAGTCTGAAATTTTAGAACTTGAAAATAATGAATATTCATATTTACTAAAGTGGTTGTGGTAAAATTTTGTACTCGTTAAAAGTAGATTTTTATTAGTAACTATATTTAACTGAAAAACTATTGAAAATTGCTTTCAAATGGCGTGAAATCTCCCACGACACGCACATGTAGTCAAATAACTAGTTTTCAGAAAAGGCAGTCTAGTGGTTGAAGCATTCAACATACAACGAGAAGGTCAAAAGTTTGGACAACATTTGACCTACTTCAATTAGGGCAACTGGGTAGATATACAAAAGTAGCTAGAGACGATCCTTTCAACGCGATAATTTCTTGGTTAAGATATAAATACATAATTCGTTTTTACTTTAAAGAAAAATCGTATCATTTTATTTCACCAAAAGTAACCATGTACAACACCAGTTACAGATGATAATGTCTTTTTGTCTTTTTTTTAGTGAATTCCATTGTCAAGAATTCTGACGAAATACATTTTATGATACACTACAACCTTTTAGAAGAACCATTAGTTATACATTTTAGGATACTATGACGAACGTGTAAGCTTTAGAAATGTTAGAAAGATTTTAGGTTACGAGAGGTTCGATTGTTTCTTGAATTGGTGAAATGTTCGTTTGTAGACTAAATATGGTTTAAAGTTTTCCCATCAATCTTTTTATACAAAATAACAATAAATGAAACCTTATAATTCTTTATCCAATAAATCAGATTGTAAATTAATGATATAAACTTAAATTATTCTTTGTATTTAAGTAGTTTACTAAAATATAGTTAACATAAATTCAATGAATCATTTATTGTATATTTTAAAATGGTCCCATTTCAGTCCACTGTAACATCTGATGTTTATTTATGAGTTCAATCATTTACATTTTTCTTCAATCACCTACAATAGATCACACGATGATGTAACTAATAATCAATAACTTGATATCGCAATTCATTTATTAACTCATGATAAACATGTGTATCATGGAAAGATATTTGACGCCAAATAAATTAACTACTCAATGTTTGTGTAAATTTTGTTCAATAATGTGTTTACTTTGCTAAAGTAAAGTTTATAAAGACAGTAAATTCACTTGGTACTGTTTGTTTGCACATATGCTAATAAAAGACTGATCAATTACAGTCCTAAACATCAATGGGAATATTCAAACAAACAATACTAAGTGATTATTTTTATGGAGATCATGAACCGATTGATGTTAGACCACCACTGAAAACCTGGACGGCACTGGACGGCCGTTTCGTCCTGTTGTGGGACTCCTCATCAGTGCGCATCCACGATCCCGCTTGCGGACGAGTGCCTAACCTCTAGACCACTGAGTCGACATCCAACGACGTTAATGTCTAACTTCAACCAATCCATGAAACTGCGCCACCGTACACTATTGTCTTCAGTAAGTTGATATTTCACAGCAGACTTGGTTGAACTCCAATGGTCACAGCTTCCCATTAGAACTCTAGGAAATATCTCAATAAGTTTTGTCTTTGTAGTTTAGGTGTTAGATTAAAACTAAGCAATCACATAATACTACTTAATTTCTGTTGAATAAATGACTAGTACTGGTATATGGTGTAAAGAATTATGATACAATAATAATAGTGGTGACCTGTTCAGTTTTATTACATATTTAACATATTAAATAATTTTTAAAATACTTTTTAATTCATTCATTGTTCTTAAGTTGAAAAATAAAATGTCATGAATTCTATGCATACTATAGTATCTAATTTACATTTTAGTCGTTATAAACCTTTATTCTTTTACATAATGATGATTTGTCCAAAATTTATTCTTCAACTGAAATTTAGACATGTTCATTGATGAGTTGATTTTGAAGTCAAATTTATTCTATGTATGTAAATTTGTTCATCTTTTTATATATCTATATATATGTGTATATACTTGGACTCATGTTTCAGTTCAATGGTATAGTAAACAATGGCTTTATACATAAAGTATCTTTATTTTTATATATATAAAGAATTCAACATTTATACCTCTTATTAAATATATTCACGATTGATTCAGTGTAAGGAACTAAGTAACTAATTTTCCATTGAGGAATGATGTAATAATGACAAGTTAAAGAGTATATGATGATTTCTATTATTTTTCAGTTGTTTTTGTTGTTGTTATGGTATTGATATGAAAAGAAATTTTAATGACAGATAAATTGAATGTGTTGTCTTGCTAAATGATAGAAAATTCATGCTATGTAATTGTTTGATTATAAGTAAAATTAATATGACTCACTAAACACTATCATACTAATTTCTTGCACTATAAAACATGACAAAGCGTATGAAAGCATATGTTGCTATACATCTCAAATCCTCGTAAGAAGTTGATGGTTTCTTGAACTTGTAACCTACCAATCGAAAGTGAAATAATTAAACTGACCAGTCACATTCATTCTATCTGGGATTTGACAGTTAAAAGTAACTTTATCTCAGAGTACCAGTGGGTTTTTTTTTAAATATGAACAATCATCAATCTCTTCAAACAATATTTTATCAAGTAGAGTGCTAGGTTAAAAGCTTAAATCATATTTTCTAAAAAAGATTTATATAGAAAGCTAGTATTTGAGAAGACTGAGAAACATTTATTCGATAAACTATCTAACTTGCTTAGTATCACCTCACTGCTATCAATTGATTAGCTAGTCAGATTGATAACCGTTGACAAACATTTGAATACAAAAAACTAATTTCATTTTCCAAAATGTTTCAGAAGACCTATGGCAACTTGAGTTGGATAGAATTTGTTGAATGGAGAAATATTAAAATAACTGTTAGTCAAATAAATCTTCCCTTAAAATGTTTACTCGATGCTGCGAAGTATTGTTTAAACTATCCAGTTTGTATGAAATTCATATCTTCCTGAAGTAAATTCTCCTACTGAGATCAGAAGTATTGCTATGTTAGTACGCGGCGTTTGTTGAAATTATACGATTTATGGATTACACCAAGGCCTGATTTTAGTTTGGCAAAAATTAAGAACTAGAAAGCATTAAATAGTCTTTTCGTTCTGCTCAATAGTGCATATATACGATCTTACTAAGAATCAAAACTAGAGAATTTGAGCCTCTCAGGGAACGATTAACTCCCAAAACACAAGTTGGAATCCAATGGTTTGCATTTTTAACACCAGTTATTTCATGGTATTTTGTTACCATCATCTATTCCTGTTGCTGATAACCATTTCAGATCCATGATGTAAATTACAAATCAAAAAAATCCACACACACTTCCTTCACTTACAGCGGTTATGTGTTTTCTAGTGACTAACTTGGTGAGGAAGCTTTTGTAGTTCTAGAGAGAAGCAGTAACTAGTGGTGTTTAACTATGTCGTTTGTGAAATAGGTATTACCGGTGCCAACAAATGACGAAATATCATGAATTGGCTGGAGTTAGAAATGTGAAACACTAAATGTCAATTTTGTGGTCTGGAAGTTAATAGTGCACTGAAAGGCTCAAATAACCTAGTTTCGATCCTTGATGTGGTCGTATATGTACACCACTGAGGAGGAAAAGAACAACTATCCAGTGTTTTCTAGTTCCTAATGTTCATTTAGCTAGGGCTAGGCCGTGATATAAACTTCAAATAATATTATATGTGTTTGTATGATACAGAATAGCTTTTATTTACTGGAAAGTCTAGTCATTTTAACTGACACATTAGATCTAAGTTACATCTGTCAATATGATTAGGGCATACTATTAAAAAAATAAAATCCAAGTAAAAATCTGGTACTTACTGAAAGCGTTTGTTGTATTCATTATTGGACTGGAAATAATATTCACCGAAGTTACTGGAGGAGTTGTTGTTGCTGCCGTTGAAGTAGAAGACGGAGTGGAACATAGTACCAGTAGTGATGGTATTGAAGACAAAGACTGAGTGGATGAAAACATAGATGCCTCAGATAAAGATGAATTCATCTGATTAATTGGATCTGAAATGTCATCTTGCTTGAAAACTTTCAACCGTTCTAACTGATTTTTCATATTTGTATTGGTTTCACAGTCATAAATGTTTTGTATACAATTATCATTATTGACTGATAACTCACAGTTAACAGAATTAGACAATGTACTAGGGGATTCTGACTTCCGATCCGTTTTCATAACATCTTTGATAGAAGAACTAGAATTCGTAAGAATTGATAATAAATCCATTTCTGATGAAGTTCTTGTTGTTGATATTTGTGGTATTAATGAACTGCCACTTTCATAGTAATGTTCACGACATATTAAAAACTTGTCACTATATAAAAGATAATATTGATCACCTGTAGTAAATTGTTTCTTACAAATTGCGCATTGAAAACAGTTTATATGATATACATAATGACGAGCAAATCGGACAAGTTCGCCATTTCGAATAAGTTTGTGACAAGCTGAACATTTTGGACCGAAATTTCTATAGAAATTGTAAGAAAGATAATGATAACTATTTTTCTTTTGTATCATTTTAACAATAAGGAAATTATCAAATTATCTGAAATGTTAAAAGTTAAAATAGTTTAGGAAATGAGTAGTTTATGTATTACAACTTAAAATTCATACTATGATAGGATATTAACAGTCATCCCATTTTAGTTAAATGATTAGAAATTGGCCAGTATTCAGTCAGTCAGTTACAATTACTGATAATTGATTAAATTGTTTTTGTAACATTTATTTAATCAATCTTTTCGATTTCATTAGATTAAAGTATATTAAATAGCCTAGTTCTTATGAGTATCCAAGATGGGGGGGAATATTATCAACCTCGAAAAACTTTCATAAAAATAACCTCCGGATTCCTATAAATAAAATGTTTACAATCTAATAAATAGTCTTAAAAATAACGATATTATGGTTGAATACTTAAAAATAATCTACATTAAACCTAAGTTCCATATCCAATATTAGTTAGTGTTTATTAATTAATCACAGTTGTCATCTCTAACACGGTGATTGACTTTTTGTCAACATCCATTAGTAAGATAAAAATTAACATAACTTTTTACAGTAGAAGATCTCTCACATTTATGAATATCTGTACTTATTCATAGATAAAGTTGACACTTGGATAGGATTATGACATAAATTATCACTATAACACGAATTATCTTCCAGTTAACATTTGTTGGAAAGTGACTGACAGGTATAAGTTATGTTTCCACTATAACCACAACGTTTTTCTACAAATAAGTATCTAGCACCCTCATCAAATCAAGCGAATTCATCAATCAAACTATTATGGCATGGTAAATGTTGTGAATGCTCTTTGGACTTACTATTGTAAACAATGAAGGGAGATAGCTTTGTCTTCTCATCTAGCCTCAACGAAACCAAAGGGAGAACACAAGTTTTAACTAGAAGATCTATTCGATTTAACCTATAGCTATCTCATATAAACATATTTTACATATGTTCAGAAATGAGATTACAAAATAACTTCATCAAATACTAACAAGTCAATAGAGGAAAATGACCTCAACAGAGACAAAAGCGAAAAGCACGAAATGTGTTTGCAAGATTCAAATTGATTTAAAGTGACAAAAATTAATAGCTGAAATGCTATCGCGAACTATTCTATCTTTAATCCAAGACAGACTGCTTGGATCATCTTGTCCCTGAGCAGCCGAAATGGCTGTTAACTACTGAAATAACTTCAAGTTTACTGATCAAATCTATCAAATGATGATAATGACAGTGTCCAACTACTTCTGTCTGTCAGTAGTATATCGAGAAAATTAAATCTTACATAACACATGTATTATTTCTGGGTTAAGATTTTAGGTAAATCTTAGTGCTTATACAAAGTCAATTTTTATATCAACACTCTGTATAATAGATAGATCAATAAATAGCTCAACTGTTCATCTAATATCACTAAGTTATGTTTCTTACACTTGAAGATTCCATTTAACCCAACTTTCATTACTGCTTTTCTAAAGGAATGTATTACGGAAGAAAAATGTTTTGTCTAATTAGGCTGTACAGTATAACTGAATTTTAAAGTCTCATTCATCCCTTTAATGACAAGTAATAATCAGTGGTTTTTATTATCACCTATTTATGGTTTACCGAAAACAAAATTCTTAACTGAATCAATCTCTTTTTTATTTTATGTTTACATAAATAGTTGGTAGATGAAATAGTCTTAGATTTACAAACAAATTGTTTCATCAACAAGAATAACAGGTATAGGTATAAAACGTTGAGTAATAATGAGTGTATTCAATTAACTTTCAGTTTGTAACTATCAGTAGGTAGGATCTATGATTACGAAAAATTAGCTTTAATCATCCTAAATCTTGCATTCTTAATTTATTCGTCAATGACTTTGTGTACTGAATAGATCATGAATTGAACCATGGATACTAAAGATTTATTGTACCTAGATTTGAACCGTCTTCCTGTTTAAATATTGTTTATGAATTGTAAAAAATAAAAGTCTTAGTATGAGATGAACTGAAGCAAAATTTTGTCACTACAAACTCTGTAACATAATTTAAACCAGTTTTGTTCAATCCCAGTCGAGTGAAACAATAATTTTACTTATAAAAGGGCTGTAACTACATTGATTTATTGATTTATTTAACTTCTTAGATTTCGTTTTAAACTCATTTGCTATTTGGACAGAAATATTGAGTATAATTAATCCGTAATTATCAACAGTCAACTTAACGCATTGATGGAGTGTAATATTAAAGGAAGACACTCTGTAGTATATAACTCTATCTATCCATGTTTTATTCAATATTCAGTTTTATCAAGTGACACAGCTAGCCAGAGTATATTTGGGATTGATATTTTTGCCCAATGAATTACTGATTTTCATCCTGAGATTTAATCTTAGAAATGGTATATCATGTATATGAATGAAAATGGTTGTACTATATGCTTTATTTAGTGGTATATTTCAAAATTCCTAGAAAAAATTAGAAAATTGTAACATCAATTTAAATGTAAATCCCTAATAACAACTTTGTACAATCAAAATTGCAGTGACCAGTGGAATTCAACCAAGTCCGTTGTGAGATAATAATTCACTGGTGACAATGGCGGACGTGTCGCTCGATTTCGTGGATTATTTGAAGTTAGACATTAACATCGTTGGATGTCAGCCAGCTCAGTGGTCTAGTGGTTAGGCGCTCGAGCGCGAGACTCGCAGGTCATGTTTTCGAATCCTGTGAGCACTGCTGAGGAGTCCCACGATACGACGAAACGGCCGTCCAGTGCTTTCAGGTTTTCCATGGTGATGTAGCTCCAATTGACTCATGATCTCAACTATTGAAATATAATTGTCTAACGATTAAGCTCTAACAAGATAAGTATGTTTCGGTAAAAAATAAACTAAATTTATATTGCGTAATCTTTGTTCAAAATAACTGCTCTAGATAATTGTATTCATCCGAGTAGAAAGAAAATGATACTTTAGCGATAATATTAATTTGCGTGTCCTATTTAACTATAATATAGATTATGAATGTAAAAACTTTTAATAATAACAATAATTCTGTTTTAAAAGTAATTTCTTTCACGTTAATCGATAAAATATTGAAAATTATGACAATTCTTGTTTTTCATCCTGACCTAAGACTTCTCACAAATGCATAATCATCATCCTATATAGAAAAAATGTAAAACTTGTTAGTTTATACCGGCCACATTTTGAACTGAGCCAATCCGTCAGAAGTTAATTTCAAATACTTTTAATAATCAGTATTAAAAAATTGTATCATTTTATTGCACCACATAGAAAGAAGAAATCGAAATAAGTTATCTATACTTGAAGATATTTTGAATATGATAAAATCAGGTCATTGTGGCTCCCAGATATCACACAAAGAAAAACGATGAAAAAGTTGATTATGACTGAAAGAAGATACTACAGAAGGACCTCTAGGCCAGTTAACTTATCATATAGGCTGTACAGGGATTAAATCACAATGCTTGATCAAACGACTTCATCTAATGGAATCTATCACAGTTAAGAAGGTTATCATCAAATCTTAAGTCCTTACAAAAGTATTTTTATTAGGAAGTTATTTACCGTCAGATTTCTCAATTATCCTCTATTTTTATAGATACATTGAAATCCATCATTAGAAAAAAATTACTGATACATTGAAAGCAATTAAAGAAATTACATGTCTAACATTATCAACTATATTTACTAATATCATATATATATATATATATATATATACTTGAAAAGAAAGGGAGACAGAGAAACACAAAGTTTACAAAACATTTGTAAACTGTTAAGTTCAAATGTCATATATATAAACTACTTTGTAAATAACTTTTATTCTTTATATTCAGTTAATTTAGTTTCCCTTTTTTTAAACCAACTTTATACAATACACATACATACATACATGACAACAGCAAGTTTCTCTAAAATGTCTTATATTACAACAAATCAGTAACTTTCTTATTCCTATTTGAACCAGTTAAAGGAAAATTAACTAAATCAATTAATTCAAATAATGTTTAGGAAATTTTTTTTCATAATTTGTTTTATTTTATTTTATTTTTTTCAATAAATATATCATAGAGATTATTATTAGTATCATTGATAATTAGTAATTGTTTGAATCTTCTTGTTATTTATGTTAGAGATTATTCAACTATACTTAAATGTTTATGATTTAATGGGAATATTGAGACAGTTCACATGGGATGTAAATATACTAGAAGTGACGGATCAACTAATATTCTTAACATCATCAACAACAATAAAGATTCATACACTTATAAATAGACAATGAAATTCATTTCTGTTATACAAACTAGTGGCTACACGAACTCAGTAACCTTTTGAATAACATATTCAGTGTTTGAATTGAAAAATATTAGGTTCCAGTCCTAGTATAGATATTAACATTGGATTGTGATAAGTGCATCTAGTCAATGGATCCCGAATAACACGATATCCTGGATTTCACAGCTAATCATTATCTATCATCATTAAATATTTCATGGAAAGCTAAATTTTATTGGTTTACATTTTTAGTATTAAAAAGTAGGAGTAAGAATGGAATATTTAGTAATTCCAGTGTATACTTTTATATTTGTGATTATTTGCAAAGATTATATACTGTATGAAGGTGTTTATCATCAATTGGAAATCCCTTAAAAATAGTCCTGTGGTCAATGTAAACTATTGTACTCCAGATTATTAGTTTAAAGGTATCATATTTGTTGTGAGATCTGAGAGTCTTTAATTTATATTTCATATGGAGTAAGGAATTCACACTATTGATAAGATTCAATCTAGGACAAGTACAACTGTGTAGTTCTATAATGTGTTCATTTATTTTCTACTTTATAAATATTATATGTAGGTCTACTGGTTCACTATTCATTTGATATTGCTGTTTTGTGAAAACCAATTTTCCATACAATAACACTGATGAACCGAAAATTAACATATGATTCAGTTTTAAGCATATCAAACAGTAATCATCCTGTAGACCTCTAGAAACGTAATTATTATTCCTTAGAATCAATCATCATGTTGCAAATATGTTTAATATCAACTGACTGACTACTAGTACAAACGGATTTTTTTAACATTCATTAAGTTATTGAAGTCTGAGTTATAAATCATGTATAAAGAATTGATGAAACTATCCAACCAATAAAACTGAGCTAGGCAATGCGTGGTCTGAGGAAATAACTTGTATAATTATAAAAGTGTGATTCTCAAGTACAAATAAAGTAACCTGTGAAACAAACGGAGTTATACATAAAAATACTTCTTAACCAATAAAATCAAATTAACTACTAAAAAAATACTTTTGGATACAATACTCTAGAAGGTATTTTGTTTATCATTAAACTCTTGAATCATTGTGTTTGTTTCACTACTACGTCGGAAGCACGTAATGTTAAGAATTACTAAATTGTACTAATATAACTATCCCTTATTCCCTAAAGTTTTAACAATTTTCAAGTTAATATTATCGTATAATCATCAAAAAAATATGTCCAAAAATAAAAAAATAAAAATCACATTGTCCTATCTAACATCTGTATACACTAATGATTAAGTATAAGTAATTTCAAGTCTCATCATTTAGTTTGTTTGTCTTTTCTTTTCAACAAATAGTGATGTGACTTCTGAAATGTAAAATAATTTCTTTCTTTAATAATTTGATTTGTTTAAATCAGATCCTTATCAAATAGTGATATACAATTCAAATAGAAAGTGTTTATAAATAAACTTTCTAAAAGCTGTAGCAAGTAAATGGCATACAAGTAACGGATTCCCAGAATACTAGACAAAGAAGAACAGAAGAAAAATTGGATAGTGAAAAATATGGTTCTACAGTCTGTTTAAGATCATACATGGAGAAGAAAAAAAAAGAAAACCTATCCATAAAATAATAGTAATTGAATGCAGATATCTAAAAAGGTATTCATAGATAATTTACTGTTCAATAATAGTGAAGTGTATAATTTGTAATCTGAACGTTCGGATGCTTATCAGTACAGCTTATGTAAATATAAGAAATTAATAAGAAAGTTAGTTAATATACATTGAAGAGATTTGTGGTATTTATTATGTTTACAGACAGTTCACATTATAATCCAATATGTCCTAATTATTTATAAAAAAACTTTGCAACTGGATACAATGCTGGAAGTTATAACTGGTTACTACAGAGTAGTCTTATTCTAGGAAGGAAATATCTGTTCAACTGTTCCTAGTTATCAATAGTGATTCAGCTAATATCAATTCCTGGTGTAAATTAACTTTGGATGTAAAATATAAGAGCAAAGCACTTGTTTTATTATAGTAACCTATTAAATCTGCCAATCTAGTTCGAAATGAGCTGATTCAACATATTTTCAAGTTTCTGAATGACTGCCAATTTATAGTAAAATAAGAAGTTAAATCAAAATTTTCTTTTATTGATATCCTATTTACCAAAACAAAATGATGAATCGATGTAATGGCCCACATATAAAAAACATACGCAGAATGGATATCTGACTAATTTTTACAGATTAGTAACCGGAAAATGAAATCACATTCATTCTCCATAATCATGAGCCTCTATAGGATGAAATAACTAATTTAAAGTGGAATTATTGTTGATATAATCAAATATTAAGTCAAAAACTAAGCTACACATATAGATTTAAAAAAGGGAAATTCCGGGAACTAACTTGATAAAATCTTCTCGACAGTATAAATGACCATCTTTTGTGTAACATCGTTCTGTGAGCACAAATCCACAATCAAAACATCTTAAACAATTTTGATGCCATGTAAGATCATCTATACTATGATAATATTGATCAAATATAATTGATTGACATTCATTACAACGCAATAGATTGATTTTAATAAAATTAGGATCATTTCTGCTTTTATTTTGTGTACAATAGGCAGATAGTTTTGAATTGTCAGCTGATTTATTTGAATTTTGATCAGTGGAGATCAATGTTACTGGAGGGTTATGTGTATGGTTATTTTTCAAATGAATATTCATACTTTGATTTAGTTCGTTACGATTTGGACTGGAACAAATAAACTTAGTACTTGAATATGTTTGCAAATCTGTATCTGATATGAGAACCGTATTAATATTACTAACATTAATACTATTATTACTATTGTTGGTTGAAATGGTAGTAATAGTAGTTGTAGTACCAGTAATAGGAGTCATTGCATTTATATTACTATTGTTACTCTCATTAAAACCGTTAGACATTGTATTTTGGTTAATAATTCCATTGTGATTAAAATTCGATGTTACCCATATTTCCGGGTTTGCAGTAGTCATTTCTACCACTTACTACTTGCTATTATTATTATAAGTAGTAGTAGTAGTAGTAGTCGTGATCAAAGTTTGTAGCTTCTGTTTTACAGTTTAATATGATAAATTTTTTATTAATATCTCAGTAGTCTTAGTAATAATGATTAACTGCTGAATATTGAGTGTAATTTTCTGAAAATACATAATTATTCGAAATTCTGAAGCGTGAAAAATGAATGTTTACTTATTAAAAACTCATTTTGATTTTTACAATCCTTAAAAATTCTTTGAATATAATTCTTTGTCCAATAAACACTATTATTTTATGCCCATCAATGTTTCCAGATTATTTTCACACTCCCTTACATACTTAACTATCTATTTACTAATCATGCTTTTCTCTTCTCCATGCGCACCAGTTAGAAACTAGCAAATGAGATAAGGGTTTTTGATTGGTTGATAAACTTACTAATGATTATGCGAAAATCGGATTAGCATAGAATATTAATAACATTGAAATTCCGGAATTCTATGTCCCCTTTCATTCATTCTACTTTCCATTGAAAAATATGAGATCAGATAGACAAATAAAAGTGAAGGCAATGTTTTCTACTATTCTAGTAAATACAATTATTTACTGAATGATGAATTTACAATAAGAAGAGGTGGTTTATAGAAAATACAGCCCTATTGATTATCGGTTAACAGATACTGGTTAATATATATATATATATATATATATATATATATATATATATATATATATATATATATATATCACATGATATGTATGAGCATATAAGAACTGTTTTGCAGATATACAATCAACTGGTTAAAATAGAAATTTGTATCTAATCAAAGTAGCATCATTTTAAATAATGTCTTAAATGTTTACAATCAATAATTTCATTCCGGGAGATAAAATGAAAATTTCGGTTAAACTGAAAAAAAAAACAGAACTCAGTACAAAAGGTGTAGAAACTCTTAAAATTATGATTCAACTTTATGTATGAACTTTCAGAAAGATATACAGTAAGTATCCTTCTGAAGAGTTCATTGAATTTCAATTGAACATATTAACTTTTGAAACACTGGGTTTATATTTATCATGTACCATTTTCTACAATTACGTAACTTATGTTGATACGTAATTAGCCCAAGTTCAATATAAATGAATTTTAATAATATAGAATATTTCATGAAATATACTCCTTGAATGAAGAACAGATCGTTTAGAATATTTCTAGTTAGACATTACACTTCATATTTTTAAATATGTTAATAATCCGATAATATTGAGTGAGATAACCAATCTTTGACTTCAAAACGAGTAGTAAATTTAGCGATCAATAAGCTGAGATATATTGGCCGCACAAAGCGAGCTCTTTCGAAATGCATCTCCAAAAATTCCTCTTCCTGGCTCTCTAAAAGATTACAGAAGTTTGCCAAAAGCTCGATCTCAGATCATCTAGTGAATTCCAGCCACTCCACTTCGCCAGAAGCCTCCTTTAGAATTATAGATACAGTCAGAAGAGTTGGCTCAATAAGAATGCAAATGAAAAATGTATGTACAGCAGAGGCTATTGCTATCCACCAGTTTAAGCCTAACCTTTGCTCATAAAAACAATATGTTCAATCCCCTCCACTTATATCCTTCACAATTTATCATTTAGAACCTCTTTATTTCACTATAAAACACTATCTTACCATATAAAACTGACTATAAATACGACCGTACAGCTTAAGTAAATAAGATCGTTAAGAAGAAAAAAATCTTCGCTGAATTGCCTTCCTTCTTCTTTAAATTAAAATTCGTTAAACTTTCAGAGACAATTTTTCATCTACTTATTACGTCTTTACTTATAAGTGAATCAAGAAAAAAAAAGTGAAAAATACTAACTCAGATAAAATTTAATGCTTCGAATGAAATACCCAAAATATTTGGTTTTTTTTAATAATCTCTAAAGTAACAAAATCTTTTCATCATATTTTTTAAGTCAATCAGTTTGTTTGGTTAAAGTAATTTTTATATATTTACTGCCGATTTATTTTTGTATATTTCTAAATAGTTTGAATAGCAGAAAGCTTGACAAGTATCTATAGGTTTATGACAAGAAACATATTTGTCCAATGACTGTTTGATTTTTATCATTCTCTCTCTCTCTCTCTCTCTCTCTCTCTCTATATATATATATATATATATATATATATATATATATATATATATATATATATATATATATTAGATAGATACAATGTTCCCAGATAAAAATTGAATAATGAAGTGATATTTTATTAACCCTATATTTTGATGCCACTTAGATCGGACGATGATGTTGTCAACGGACTCACCATTTTAGTGTATCCCTTTGTCTGACTCCAATTAAATCGTATTATGATTGTCATCAACTTATACATTCCGGCTACCCTCGTTTATAATTATCGACTTAAATCGAGTCCGTGAGTAACGGGGTTAAATAAGTCAAATACGAGAATAAAGTTTGAATACGTGAAATTCGTACACTTATTGATTTGGACAGACAATCAGGAAAACGAAGCTAATGAAGCGAATGCAAACGAAATCACACAGAGCGGAGAGGGCGAGTGAACCAACCAGCGTGACTTAATATTTATAGTCAGACCAAAAATAAATTACAGACACATAAGTAATTAACACACATACTGTCATATAAAAAGCAAGCGGGGTTAGTAAGCGAATGAGTGACAAGGTAAGAATGTGACTTGAGAAGAATGAATAGATTAGTCTGTCCAGAGGCTAGAATAGCCTATATGGGCTTGGCATAGTACTAGCCCCTACAATATATATGCTCCGGTCGGGCGACTGATGAAACTTGTAGAAAAGATGCATTGAATGCTCAAATTCTCAATTATATGACGTAATGAAAGAAAAGTAAGTTGCAATTCATCGGTAAATACTGTAATTTTATTAAAGAAGAAAATAATCCCAAATACTAAATAAAATGGAAATAAGACTAATAACTAGTGTCAGCTGACGGTAAAATGAACTCTTAGGCAATAGTTTTTACACTATTTATTTTTGTGTTAAATTATTTTTGTACGGTTTGAATTAGAAAAAGTAACTTTATGGTTGGGAAAAAAAATAAAGCACCATTGTTTATCATTACATTTGTCAAAAGATTGTTAACTACAATTTCAAATTTAGAAATACATTTTTAAGAGTGGGACGTTGGCTCAGTGATTAAGACAGCCCACTACTAGCCACAATATCCCCGATCTTAAACCTACAGCCTATCCACTACTACGGCTTAGCCGGTAAGATGGTACTTCCAGCCAGCATACATAGAGTATGACTCAAAGTCAAGTATATAAATATGTACCAGGTAAATATTTCAATAAGAATAAGAATGTGTGAGTTCCCAGTGTCTAATATTAAAAAAATACAGAATAATCTTGAACAGTTTAAATCCCAACTGTTCACTGATCATTCTAGTTAACCTTACTAAATGAACATTAAAATGTTGCTTGAAAAATTGAAATAATGAGAAATTTCAAGTGCTACTGAGTCTCGAACTATTAAATTGCTAAAGCTTTTGCAACGCACAAGTTTTGCTTGGTGCTCCTTTTGAGACAATGGATTTGACTGTATAGATGATTTTGAACAATAATTCTCGTGGAGCAATATGATCAGAACTGATATGTTCTTATATTTATTTACTGATTGTTTCTCATTCTAGTCGTGTAATGATCTGAGGTGCGTTCAGAAAGAATCGGTTTTGTGTGGTCATTGTAACCTGCCCCATAAGAGCAGGTAAACTTAGAGGTTCATATTAATGTTGTCCAAATAAATTTACACTCAACACTTCTATGAATAATAAACTGTCTAGGGAAGACAATATAGAGTTTCTCAGGGTTTCTGCAAAAGCATCACCTTCTAATTCGATACCCATGTAATGATTTCTTTTGGACTATCAGTGACCTTTCAAGTTGTAGTTTTTATCACAGGTTTACATCAATGAATCTTGATAGATTATCATTTCCGAAGAGTATTTATTAGAGTTAAAGTAGTTAATCTTAAGTTGTGCCACTGGAGCGTCCCTTTTTCTGCCCAATGTTTTGAATTCTTCCTCAGTGATACAGTAGATTATTTTCATCATTCTTCAAAAAGTAATAATCGCACTTATATAGTGTCATAGATTCGATTTATTACGCCAATGCACTATAATATGGTTTCAATTAAGTAGTTATCAGCATGCTATGATTTTAATCATGCGACTGATAGTTATGCATAAAAATCAAATCTATGGTCCGAAGCTTCCTTATGAATGTATGAATATAAAAAACAAACGAAAATGATCAGTAGAGCCCATTTATTTCTAGTTAAATAAAGCTTTGATACAAAAAGTACCTGATACAAAGTTAGCATGGTTAGACTTTAAATATTTATACAACTGTAAAATAAATGCTTTTATAGTCCATTTTCCAGTCAATAATCTTGAAATTTGACAGAGAAGTTTACTTCTTGTCTTCTATATCTTTACCTTATATAATAAAATTACCTTGTTTTCTTAATGAATTTTGATCTTCTCAGTTAGGTTAATAACAGTGGTATCTTTAATCTATATTAGAATTGAATCGTTTTTAATGTTTTATAAAAGTAGGATGTTTCGTAAGTGTAATCCGAATCGCTTCATGATAAATATTTCCGTCTTAATCATTATAGGAAAGTTCAGAATCTTTCACAAATTCATCATAGAAATGGAGATTCATATTACTGACTATCTACTTAAATAAACTACTTAGTAATACCCCGTTTTTACATATTTTCTAATTTAACAGTATTCTTGAGGAAAAGCCAACCTATCAGTGTAATCATTACTTGATGTAGGAATTCTATCATCAAAGTATTACGTCATTGCTTATGAATGTAAATTAATATTTTATGTGCAGCTGATATTGTTTTATTTAACGTAATCCGATTTAATTCTTGATGAAGTCAACATCACACCTACATGCGTTGAAATTCACGGCGAACCGTAGTCGAGATAACCACATTGTACTAAACATATGCTACTGAATAAAGCTACAACTACTATTATCAGATATAGTTCTCCCATTCAAAAACCAGTTAAAATTACTTTATCAAATAAACCTTTCTTGATTTATTTACCACGGTAATCATTTCTAGATTTTGATATCAACGATCAGGACTTCCACATGAGACTTCAGATGACAGAATGTCTTAGTAACTAGTGAACTTTTACTGCGATAACAAAATATTTTACCACATGAATAGTATTTTCCATATCAAGCGAACTGTTAATTATCTGAATAATCATTTTGATAGAATATTTAAAATTCCTGAAGTTGTCAAATAACTTTCAAAGACCTATACAAAAGGCTACATATTAGAATACTCTATCCCACTGAAAAATTGTTAACATTACTTACTTATTAATTATTTAGGGGTTAACTAATAAGTCACAGGTTCAAATGTTTGACTGCTTAATTCGATTTGAGCAACAGGTTAGTATCAAAAATATACATATACACCAAAAGTATAACTAAAAGCTATACACACATGTACCTGTACTGCCTAATAATATCAATTGTAATCCAAAAATATTATTTCTTGAAACAGTCTGTCTCATCAAGAAGGTTTAGGATTATTAATGAAACTGAAGAACCTCTCCACAAGTAAAAGATATTTGGACAGTTCTCAGAAAACTTTTATGAAGATGGTTTTGCATATAAGAATGTTAGCATAAGGATGATAGGGAAACAATATATTGAAGAAGCTTCTGAATAAATTACTGAGTCTAGGTCTAATTTAAATGAATTTAAGGTTGATTCATTTTGATAACTACTGAGTCGGGTAATGTCTCTTGAGATTGAGTTTTTTGTGTGCACCAATTCTGAGAGGAATATTTAATTTTTCAAATTTGTTTTCATTTGTCAATTACGAGAGCTGTGCTGTTGAGCTAAATTCTCTACTGTGATCATTTTATGGACCTGCATTCCTGAGTAAATACGACTGAAGCCATATTACAATGTTAACTTTTGAGCATAATCATAACAAGCTAATTCGAGGTTTTGGAAACTTCTAGGAAAGATGCGAGTTATTAATGACATCTGCGTTTGACCAATATGATTATGAAAGAAAATCATTATAATAAATTCTGGAATTTACCAAATGCGCTAATTAGCTGAACACATTCCCGATATTATTTGGTTTCTGTGATACTATCAAGCATAGTTATCAGCATTTCCAAACGATATGACTATTTTTGGCCGAATGAAATCACTGTTTGGTTAACTTGACTACTTTATACACGCCAATATGACATATTTCTCGACTAGCTAGTGTGTAAACATTATTTCTTTACTATGCTGTAATTAGTGTGATACATGTTTCCTAGTTAAAAGAACTCCACCAGAATTTTCGGCGACAATGTTTTTGAAGTAACTTCGAAAAACGTAAAACCTGAAACTAAATCAGTGCGTGAAACAATTAACACTTCTAAATAACCGTACATATAGTTGCAAATAACATTTAATTATCAATTCTAATGATAATTGCCTAATGAACAGTCATCATTCAATGCATGCCAAAAAAACCTTCCTGAGTTATTGAGCCAACAATCAGTTGTATTTCATAAGTTTTGCAATAATTGAGTATGTGTTGACAAAATACATCTTGTTTATCCTTTTGGAAAGGAAATTAGATTTAACAAACATCAACCATTCATCAAATTAAGGTTATCATAAATCTAGAAAAAAATTGTCTGTCATTTTCCTTCCTTACTGTATACATTTACACTTATTTTTCAGCAATACTATTATGATTCATAATTTAGTAAACATACACATGTACCGGAAAGTCATTTTCGGTAAATGTGGATAATTTGTTAAACAAAAGTGAAATTAGTCATGACTTGTCCATTTTACAGAATAAGAAACTTGGCCAACTGGAAGAAGAAAACGATCATATTGACTGTTCTTACTATTCCAACTGCTTATACATTTGCATTATTCACAACCTAATTTTTTGTGATTATTATCGCTAATAATGTATATTCCTTAAAAAGAAAATCTACTTATTATTTTCTGAATTTTTTACTACCAACAAAAATGACAGCGACAGTTTCGGACTGAAATGATCAACAATTACATCTCACACTTAACAACTAAGTGAAAAGAAATTGAGTCATTCAGGAATTATGAGTTGTAGATATACCTAACAAAAAATCACTGAAAGCCATAAAATCTTGATTCAAACATTTGAAGGAGTTTACTTAAATGTAGAATAACAGTCCACCGACTATCAAAGTAAGTTTTAAAAACTATATTTGAAGAAACATATTATGTTGGATATAGTGAAGTTTATTTATTTTGTCCTCATATCGAATCCTAGATTAGTGAGAAAATTCAATATACTTTATAATTTAATTGGAAATAATTAAGTTTTATGGTCAGATCAATATTTACTGTCTCAATAAAGAATAGGTAGAAATATATGTGTTTTTTAGTTATCCGTAGACTCCAAGATGTAAATAAAACAATTCGGTGGTGACACACCCTTTAATTGACTATTGAAATTTCATAAATGTACTGACGAAATTCGGAAGTTTGAATGGTTATTTTCGACCATTCTAGTTCCAAAGATCCCTTTAGGACCCATCAAAACTAGATAGGATCTCACTTATAATTTTTTGAAATATATACATAAAAGATTAGGGAATAAAGACGACGAAATCGTGATTCTTAATCGCGAAACACGCAATATCAAATGAAGATAGGAATTCTCAACCTGGGAGTTATAATACCCTATTGATACCTTTTGTTTAAATCCACTTAATAATCATAAAAACATGATACTGTAACCATTACCAAACCACATGAAATACATACACGATGCATTTCATTCTACTGAAATTGTTAACAGTATTTTATGTTTACACTCAACTACACTACATATACAAAAATACTGGCCAGTCCTACCAACTAATCAGTTTTGATAAACACATTGGTACTAAACAGGATAGCTGTTAATTAATGTCGAAACAATTGGATTGTAATCATTAGATTCCACAATTGGATAATATCCTGAATATCAAGGCCTAAATACCTTGAAGAGTATCAACAGTTTCTAACGATAATTGCACGAAATCGAACATGATTAACAGGTTTCGTTATAAAAAAAGAAGACAATCAAAAATATCGATATTGTTAGTGTAAATAAATCTCTTTTATATTTACAACTAGTGGTTAGAATAATACACGCTGTGAGTGAAATTAAGAAAAGCAAGAAGGATAATACTGGATATTTATATATATATATATATACACTAGACTAAAGATAAAAATATATAATATAACAACAGAAGGATCCGGCGAAGGAAATTAAAAGGCTTTTACAAAGAACACTAAATAAAAAAACGAAGTTTAGCCCAAGCGTTGCCAAATATTTGGTTTACGTGATTTAATTGGACGATTTCCAGGAACACCAAGACGTTCTGAAACAGACCTAAATAAACGAAAAACAAGCCCAATACAGATACACTAATAACTAAAACAACTTAGTATATAACAGGATCGGTACCTACGATACACGAACATCATAAAAAAAAAAGAAAGCAGGTAAGGGTCTATGCAGAACTATACAACCTGTATAAATCCAGAAGACGATATAGGACCGTTAAAAAGATCTAGATTCATTTCTTCAATGTAATTTGATACATTCGATTATCGACCCACAGATTAGGAGTTATATCATTCAAGAACTAAAAATAATCACTCACGATTTAAAAAATGAACTAAGTAGATTTACTATGTTGAATTTAACATCTATTCAGAATGACAACCGAAATAATGACATGATTTAAAGCAGTAAATACAAAATTCGCACCAGTAAAATTAGACTGTTCAAAGTAAAGTATTAAAATTACCGAGGTCTTCCGGAGTTGGATTCTATATCTGCAACCATGCTCATTGACGCCAACAAACGCCTGGTTCTGAGGGCATTTTCGTCCTCAACTAAATTAATATCATCATTAACATCGGTATCAGGCATTAATGTTACTGTTGCAATGCTACGAGGATAATGACGATTAGCAGGTTTGACACGACTGGAGCCACTTGAGCGCAGGGATGGTTTAGAGTCACCAGACAATGCACTCCCCCATGGTTCCCGTGGATCTAAAACTACAATCGTCCCAGGTTCTGGAGTTTCAAATATATCATCCTCATCTTCGTCATCGTCTTCATTCGTCAACCAGCGATTTGGTATTGGACCGCGATCTCGACGAGGCCATTTGTGAGGCTGTCGTCGAGGTTTAGGTACAGGAAACTCTAGAACAAGTGAATTTTGTGGATACAAATGACAGAAAACATTTTAAATATTGTCTTGTAAAGTTACACTAACATCAATTATGGAATAAAATACAAGAGAGACGGTTTGGTATCCAAACAATGCACTAGCATATGATGTGAATAATGAATAAACTAGAAACTAAACAATCCAACAAACGACAGGCGTTGAAAGGTAGCTTAAAATAAACAGTTTAGCCGGCACACTTTTATTGCCCATATATTTTCAATATCCATTGCGAACACCAATAAACCAAACAATACAAATATCATAATGTGTAATATTATGTATTTTATATCAAAACAACAACTGAGAATGTTATATAAACTTTGAAAGTTATACTAGAATGAAGCTAGAAGACTATTGACTTCTCGTGATATGTTTGTTTATTTCAATAGGTGAAGACTAATAAACGCTCAGAACTAAGCACAAACAGAGAGAAAATATCGGTTCAATAAGGTATAACGAATACTAACTATATTAGTCAATCAAATTAAGTCAATAAAAATTGAGTAACGAAAGTGTAATCGTAAAGCACTCAGTTTCCAACCATGAGACACCAAGTTTAAACTTAGTACCACCTACTTCGGTTTGGACAATGGAGTACCATCACTACTCTTTCACGAGCAAAAGAGTGGTTTAAAAGTAATTAATTAGATAACTAGACCAATTGGGTACCCAGTAATTTTATGGGACAAGACAAGTTACTCATGAGTAGCATTACAAAATAGCACTGAATAAACTTCGCTCCCAGTCACCATTTTTCACGGATAGTTGGATTAAAACAAGTAAAACCTCTAGACAGCATTCCTGTATAACTTGGTTATCACGTAAATAGACAACTATATGTAATTATTTATTTCTAGACACAAGAGCACAATTTAGCTGTGATACCTTGCCTTCTGAAATTAAACTCATTTGCACAGGCCATAGTTAAGTTTTTTTTTTAATTTTTAGATGGAAATGAGTATCAAATTCCTAGAAATTAGTTGTGAAAACAAACGTCAGGTCAGTTCAGTCGGATTTTCGCTCTTGTATTAAAAAATCAGTTGTTTGAAATAACGGCTAAACTTATAATTACCTGAAAGCTCGTATACGAACAACATGATTAAAATTTCAGATTACTAAACAGATTCAGTGACTATAAGCATCAAACTAGGCTGAATGATGATATACGAAAATATGATCAGCTATAGAATTAGTGGGAATATCATTAATGGAGTACAGAAATGGTGCCAATGACTCCATTTTGCTTTTACCTAGACACATATTTTGTATATGGTGGAGGATTCCTTTACGCGCAGTAATAACTCGGCAAACATGTTTATGTACTATTATAAGCAAAGATGGATGGTGGCTAGCGGTGTAATCGAGGACGCGCATTTCGTTTTATTTGGATGTACCTGTTTATGTACCACAAAACTGAAAGACATTAGGAGAGTAAGAAAGATTACCAAGCCACTTATTAAAAGCGGATGAATTGGCATCAGAACAAGATTAGAAATTGAGAAGTAATACCATAACACTAAAATACATTATGAAAAGCCAAATAATGAAAGTTGATAATGTATTGTGTAAATCACTACCTTATACCAAACAGTATCTCGTTTCTATCACTTATACAGAGGTAATATGTTATTGGTAGTGATAGAAAAAGATTGTAATCATATGTAACACCCATTCAATTAGATAAACGCAACAACTTTGAAGTTGATTTTTACTAATCAACACCATAAGTATATGATAAAATATGTTTCAAATTGAATTTTTTGAAAGTAGATGAAGTCCTACTGAGCGTTAATAATGAATAATTCAATGTACTTTATGGTAATCTACAGATAAAGTAAGATGTAATAAAGGTATAAATTATATTTCACAAGTATCGTATGACCAATCTGGTATTCAATTAAATATGATATTGAATTGTGTATGGTACACATAAACCAAATGAAGTACTGTGGTATTCGTCATACATATAATTATAGATATGAAATATTGAACATATATATGGAATTTTTCTGACTAGATGCTAAATTCCAAAATACTACCAATATATGTGTGTGAGGGTCTATTTTATTATTATTTTATTGTTATTAATGGCTTTATTCAATATTATATTTTGGTACAATATAGAATTCTGTATGTATAGATAGAAATCCTATGCCCTTAACACAGTAAAGCCAAACGAGTTGGATAACTTGCAAGATAAATCCGGGATCAGTACGCAGGAGGAATTGTTAGAAAATAAACTGCTGACGATTTCAAGCCCAATCCAAAATTGAATTCAAGTACATTAATTGGTCGAATTTTAACCTAGACTTGGTGAGCTAGACGTTTCTCACGTAAATTCAATATAAGCTGATGCATTTTCGTCGCTATACATGGTTCTTTGGAACGTACCTTATTCCTAGCTCATTCTTGTTCTGATATAAGTTAAGTCTAGTGAAGTGTAGTCGTTAAAGTGTACTGGGGAAGGAAGAACGCAACGGAAACGGAAAACATAATTTCGAATACTGACTCATCAACTCCCTGCACAAATTCACATAGCATATTGATAAGAAAAAAAAAGAAACACTTTGGGATCTTACCACTAGCATTTCGACGCTGTCTTGTGTTAGACTTTGTAGTATATTTGGGAAATATTGCGGGATGAGCTACTTGATCTGACTCGTCATACAGATTATCGTAAACAATAAGTGGGCGCTCAGGTGCAGGTGCTTGAGAAGCCGAATTCCATATATTGTAGTTGCTATTACCAACGATTTGACTAACTACTGAATCGGGATCATCATAAGCGTTGGCAACCAACTCGGCAAATTGTGCAGATAAACTTTCAATATGACGCGAGTCACCATTTGGATCGTTGCTGGATTTAATTCGCGATATCCGAACACGACGTCTGTATGAACGACTTAAAATACCAGTCATTCCACCATAATTAGGGTTACCAAAACGGCGGTAATAAAGACTTCGACGTTCTGCCCCAGGTAGTTTTACATCCGCTGAAAAGGCAAAACAGAACAAACGGCGTTAGATCTTAAACACTTGCATGCACTTGATAAGAAGGATTAACTTGATATCCCTCATGTAGAGTAGAAACCCACTGTTGAATGATATAAACTAACTTTAGATAATACTACACCCGAAAATTTGAGTAACATTTGTTATCCAATTTTTACACACTTTTTAAACGAACACAAACAAGCTTTATTAACCTTAAAGGCAAACATTTGAGTCACTTTGTATGACCTCATTCCAACGCTCATTTGTTGATTTCCTCAATCCGTATACGTTACAAAATGCAATCAACTGAACCGATCCACCATTATATGATGTAATATTCCTCAACTTGCCGACCTCAACTTATCTACCACCCTGAAATGCCCTGGTACGGCCGAGAGTGGAGAGAGTCAGCCCTCCCTCTCGAAATATTCTCACATGGCCACGTGAATACACCACTGCCAGGGAAGTCCTATTCACTGCCTTCTCGCGACGCGGGTGGTGTTTACGAAATTGAGAGAACGAAAAGCGAATGTCCGGCGCTTTAACCGGGTTGGTGGACACGGAGGGTTAACCTAGAGGGGTTGGACAACTCGGATTCCAAACCAATTGTGTACATGGGCCCCAGGACTGAGGGAACAAACGGTGTGTGTATGAACCACTTATTGGTCACTGGATGCCATGGGACTGCATCTCCTGACGTTGCCCCACTGCCTTGTGGGTCAGACCTTTAGGTCGAAGGCTCCGGGTGTGGCTCCAAATAAAACCACCTGCTTCGGTTTGGGCACCCGTGCAGTATCCAGCCCTCACACAAATCGAATGACTTATGTGTCATATATCTATTTGGTGCCTCCTTGTATCAATGTTTATGTGTTCAAATAAATAAAGTAAAACTTGCCTACCAAATTATCGAAACACATCACAATTGTGGGAGAAAGACTAGTAAATAAAAATCGATACGAGTGAACTAATATTCTTTATCATTTAAAAATAGTGTTCAAGTTTTTAACAAAGTAACCATCTGAATAACCGAGAGACAATATGAGCAGCGTAAGAGACTATTCCTTATATATGTAATCTCAAAGTCAGACACTTAAACGGAAATTTACATCATTTCCATAACCTTTTTCTTGATAAACACTACAGCATAAATAACAGTATATTAGCGGTTCAAATTGATTTAGTTGTAAATTTCTGAACTATTAAATTGCATCACATTAAAACAACAATAAATCTAGTATAGTAGATCAAACTTGAATGGATATAAGTTTACTAGAAATTTTATCACAAAGTTGTGGGGCCCGTTATTTTGTCGTCACATTTAGATTGGACGATGTTTGTTGAAGGGCTCTCCACTTTAGTGGCCCGAGATCTGACTCCAAGGAGATCGTAATGATGATTGTTGCTGAAATATATATGTCGCCTATCCTCGTATATATTCGACTTTAATCGCGTTAGTCAATAACGGATTTAGATAAGTCAAATAACGGGAAGGGACTTGTGAATACATATATTTTGTATATGCAGCGAATAGAATAGAGAAAAGCGAAACGACGCGCAGTGGAGATGGCGGGTAAGCCAACTCCCATTTAACCAAGCATTAATCAATAGTTATAGTTACACGAAAATAAGTTACAGACATGTGATGAGTAATGGGATAAGAAATGTGCACACACCTACGCTCATGTAAAAACAGTCAAGATCGATAAGCGGATAATTAACAAGGTCAAAATGTGACTCAAGTAGAATGAATAGATTGGGTTGTCCGAAAGCGAGAATAAGATATACGGGCTTAACATAATAACCGACACTACAAAGTCATTACTGAATTACTATAATTAAAAAGCTTGGTGTTCAAATATGAAGTAAGCACTGTCTACTAAAATAATCTTAAAACTAAAAGCAATTATTTGTGAGGATACATATTTTACTGTTGTTGATGCTAAGGTCTCCAACTGATCAATCTCTGTTGGCATATGTGGATCCTGAGATGAATGGCAATATTGAGGTAAACCATACAAATAAAATTTATACTCGTTGAATAAGCTAGTGATTATCTGGATTTAGTGGCTTATTGGATAACACAGCAATTGAAGAGAACAGCACTGAATCCGATTCTTATCATGAACGTCAATAATGAGACATAATTACACTTAACTGACGAGATACCCGTACAGGATCCCACAGTTAGCCATTATCTAACTTGGAAGAAATAAGCAATAGTTAAATATATTTCCACAAAAAAAATCAAATTAATAAACCATTTTTAATTAAAACTTAAGAAATAAGGATGAAATATAATATCTGCTTACTTTTATGTGGGAATCGTAGAAAAAGTGATATTGTTTGGGGTGGAACTGATAATGCCTTATACCAACGTCCGGTTGGAGGTAGATGTTGAGAAAATTGTTCAATAGAATCCAGTGTTTCATTTGATAATGTCAGAGATTTACGATCTTCAAATATTTCGTCTAAATTATCTGACTGACTCAAGCCTACATCATTAATATCATCTTTTTCTAAGAGTGAGGCCAAAGCAGCAGCTGCAGCTAATGCAACACGACGATCAAATGGTTCAGCGAAATCGGCTATAGCGCGTAGAACAGTATTTTCATCTTCAAACACGACATTGCCTTAAAGGGAGACAGCAGTGTAGTTGGAAAATTGGATTAAGACCATACATTTAACAAGAGAGATAAGAGGTGAAGAAATAATACGCCTAAGCTGATTGACATTATGTAGATGTAAGTAGGTTTCTGTTGATGTGATTAGTACGATAATGTATGAAAATCAGATCTTAATCGTAATCCACATACAATGTTAAGTCCTCGTTATATAATTTGATAATAATGGTCACAAACCCAAATACCGAATGAGATTTAGGGAAAAAAATACATACTTTCCAACAAACTGAGTTATTTTGAATTCTTTAGTTGTGATTAGACCGTCATGACAATGAATATAAGTTTTTTATGTTAAAAGTTCCTAATTCCCCGACAGAATCACAGAGGAACAAGGCTTGTAAAATTAGTCTTTATTAAACCAGTAAAAATAGGATGTAGCATTAACAGCCTTAAGTATCCTTTGGAACCCTAGCAAGCGTAATAACTAAAATTAACCAAAGCCTCATACTGCTTTTTTCTAATTCTTTATAAAACGTAGATGGTTAACCAACTTATTCTACAAAGGTAATTTCTCTATTCTGAAATCATTGCTGTCAGATTACTTTACAAAAGTTTGATTAGTTTAAGAAACATGAAGGGCAGTTGCTTGCTTGTATTCATACATGAATTCGACTCTCTATTAGCATGTCTAAAAAGAGATATCCAGTACTTAAAGGTACTCACAATTGGTTGATCACTGAGTAGTGAGGAATGTTATGTTGGTAAAGACTTTTTAGTGCTGATCGAGTCCTATCGATAAAGTTGTAGTGTGACCACTCGTCTAAATGACTCAATATATTAAGATATAATGCAGTTGAAGATAGTCAACAATCAGTCGCTGCTCGAACAGCTCAGTAGTAACAACTCATTATGAAGCTGGATGATAGGGGACTGAATCCCTCTGGGAGCACCTATTACATCAAAACAACAGGTGTGCCTTGCTGACTGATGCTAAGTGGTACGAAAGCTAAACTCAGGGTTTCTTATCGACAAACTCCAACTATCTAACAGTGCTTACATGTTTTCAACGTATTGAAGTCAATGCCAGATTTTTTTATTATAAGAAACCACCTTAAGAATATCGTATTCTGATGTTCGTTTCGCAATGGATATTTGATATACACTGATCAGACACCTATTTATTTAGCTTTCCCGCAACCTAAGTTCGAGTATACGTCGACAAAAATGACCGAATTTTAAGTGAAATACCAATGAATAGTAGTAAAAATCAAAGAATTAAAGCACTTTCAAACATATCTCGGACGACTGTTCCACTTTTTTATGATTACGCCTAATATTTAACCGTAGATTTTCATCTTCACAGTTTTAAATAAACTTGTGTAAGTCATGAGCTTGACTCTTGCAATATCCCATTTCAAATTCAACTTTCACCACATTATGTGCAAAACAGAACGATAAAATACAACATACGATCATTAACGAGTTAGTTTTGTTTATGACCAATTGAAACCGAACAAAAATATGATCCATGATAATCACCGTAACATAGAATTCCAGAAATCAAGGAAAACGAATAACGATATTAGCATAATTAAACATACATGATGCATCATTTATCCATTCGATACATTTTGGGCTGTAATCAGATAACCAAGATAAAACATCCTCTGTACTAAGATTGTGAGTACCCCAAATATGAAGAGCATTTGATCTATAACCCTGTTCTAATATTTCATCCTTCCTTTTGGAAAACCTAAGTGGTGATAAATCTTTGCAGCAGAAGCCTGAGTAATCGCTAATGTGGAACCGCAGTTGCAAAATTCAGACTATAAAATAAAGTAACACAAAATTTGTGTGATTTACTTATTTGGGAACTAGGAAGGGATCAGTATTTTCAACATGCTAACTGTGATCATTACATATTTCACAGACAGTCGCTGAAAATTTCCATCCTCCTAACATTACTCAGACTAAGTCAAAAGAGATCGATTAATAATGTCACGGTGTGGTTACCTCTAGGAGGCCAGTTACATTTAACTCACGTTCCAACGACATTAGATGATTTTCCGTTTTTGCCTAGCAACGTACTATGTATTCAGTAGACTAACAAATATGTAACATGAGAAAAAGTCTTAAATCTCTAGCAAAACACAAAATATTTTGGTGGGAAATTTTAATTTTGAAAAACTGATGAATATGACTTGGTCCTGATTCTAGCATTCCGTTCGTTTTGTCCTAAACCATTATTTAAAATCCAGCTATTAGGTAAGTAGTCAGTTATCCCTCCTACGTATACATATTAACTAGCTAAAATGTCACTAAATTTTATAACCCGAATAGAAGCACAGATATGACAAACTGTAATGATACAATAGATAAAATATACTGTTACTGACAACCAGATTTTATCGGTCATCAGCGTGAGAAGTGTTGATTTAATGGTTAGCGCACTCAGTTTTCAACCAGTAGGTTCAAGTTTAAAATGTGACTACATCAACTATTTGGGAGGCTGGGTAGTTGAACTGGCCTTCACACATGAAATTAATGATAAGTACACAAACTTGTTTTTAGTGAGTTGCATCACCATATAAACTTGACGGTGTAAATGAAGGTATCTGTTAGTAGATATCTTGTAACTTTTTCTTAAAACAAGCGATATAAGAGCAATATTAATGATTTCAATGATAGGATATTCCTTGTTAATGCGATCATTATCTTTACGTGTTTTTAGTTCAGCATAAAACCAAGTGCGATAACCACAGAAAGAGATGAACTTTTTTCGAACTCAAGAAAAAAAGCAGTGCAATTGTGTCTTACCTGACATGAACAATAAATTGGTGACAATATTTGGTCTTTCTGTTCAGCCGGTACATCACAACCATCAACATCTACTGTTACTTTCAAGCAAGGTACAGAAACAGCCATGAGTGTTATAGCCCGCCAAACTGACTGCAATGCATCTGTATAAAAAAGGTACATTTCTTGCATAACTAAGTAAAGAACAGTGAGGAACACGGACACCGACAAGTATTATCCAAAACGCTATTGCCATAATAAAAGCCTATAGAGAACTGACACCTGAGGGTCTATTTATTTTGAGCTGGATGTTATGTTTTAATGATCACATTGCAAAAGAATTAATGTACAAGTAGTGTCAAAACTCAAGAGCGAACGTTGAAACAAATTGTGATTTCATGACTTTCATATCAGACTTGAGACAAAATACAGAAAACGTGGTTATTTAAAAATGACAGAATCAACCAGGACGATAAAACAGACTATAAAATTCGTGTTACATTCAAAGCAAACAAAGAGAGGAGAATGAAGGCGTCATCCCCCACTACCTAACTTTCAAAAGACATTTAACCGGGCAACAAAATAATATTGGACATGACAACTAATTGTTTTCATCTATGAAGGGGGAAATTCTTGTACTTCTACTAATAAATAATTAGCTGGGTTAATATTTCTCTGTATTTATGCAACAACTGACCGGAGTTCCCGAACAGAGAGCAGTAAGATACGACCAACACACACAACAAGTAACGATAAGATTTGCACTTACCGCCAATTACTCAGACACAATCGACTAACACAAATCTATCTGCACATATTTCGGGTTAAAAGTAAAACTGAGACACGCTGTCAGAAGCTTAATGAAGTTTCCGCTACCCATATTGGTGCTCAAAATATGTACAAAACAAATACCTTTCTACTCTCACGCCCTTGATCATAGTGTTGTGGTGATAGGCCTGATAAGCTTATTTTGTAAATAGTTTTTGATGTTATTTGTGGTTATTCTGTCAATTTTTTACTGCATGTACATTTATCGTTAGATGATAAATACGCACAAATCTGCTGAATTAAGTAACGTCTCTAATTTTTGCTGTGTTTATAACATTTAACTGATATATATTAACATTACTATTTGTGCTTAATAACTCTGTTATCATTTGTGAGTTCAAATATTGTTTGGTCCACCACAGTGTCTTAAAAGCCATTGGTTACAGGAATGGTTCAAAATGGTTCAACTGGTTGCTGACGGAATAGAAGGGGCTTCCGCTTAACGGCCTTCTGTGTCTAGTAGCAATGGATCGCCAATACCTCCATACAGGAACATAAGTATATTAACGATAAAAAGGGAAAAAGAAATTGGTGAACCACAGTAAGATACTATCCTTAGTCCTTAAAAATATGTCAAGTTTCCTCTTGAAGGACTCCTGGGAGGTCGCTTGGACTAGCTCAGCCGGCAGCGAATTTCAGCATTTGACAACTAAGGAGTAGAAGTTGTGTCTATAATCCGTTCCGCTGTTCACATATGCTCCATTTTACCAGATCAGTTGGCCATGATAAACAAAAATCTTCAATGTCTCATTGACGAACTATTTGGCTTCGTCCACGATTAACAGAGTACCCTTTCTTCTTAGTGATGTTTCGAGGATTTAGAGGTAGGACGTTCTTTTTAAGGAACCTCAAAAAATTATATTCAGCTGAACGACTATCAGTTCTCCTCTGCTATGTCCCATTAAATACAGGATACTGAGAGCAGAACGCAAAAGACACGTTGTATTTTCTCAGTGATCCTACTGTTGACCCATCGATCATCTGTTCGATCTGTAACGCCTCTCTTCTGACTTCTATGCTGCAATTAATAAGAAAAAGACCAGCGAAAAGTTTGTCTATCATTCATTTTTTACCCGAGATCATAAACTTCAAACCCCACAGTTCATACACAGTCTCCACTATTACAAACGTTCAGACAATATAGCTACAGGCCTACAATATCCAACCTGTTTTGATTTATTATTCCTGAGGAAACGTTTCGGTTAATCTAGAGTATACGAATCAGGGAGACTTGTTAGATGGTTCTGATATGAGTCCTAAGTAACAATGCGAAAACACTTCAGATGTTTTACCAATACAGTCAGGGTTTTGGAACCATTGGAGTTTGTTTATTCATACCGAAATTGGAAATTGCAATCGTCCATCAGTTTAATCGGGTAGTATGCCTCGCCCCTGGCTTATGCTCAGCATGAATGAAGTAGAACAAGGCTAATGTTAGTCAAAAGTAACAATGCTGTTCAATAATAATAACAACATGAAGACCTAATGAAGCTTATTATTTCGTGAGCAGCCGTGACTCAAGGCGATTCACAAAACACCCTGAACTCCAAGTTTTATAAACTAAAGAATAAGTTGTAGAAACCTATTCTGATGTTCGATACTAGCATTATTTTCATTCTATTACATACTAAACGGATAAAAGGAGAAAACCATAGAAGCAGGAAACTTAATATTCAAAGCTGACGATTTCGAAGTGCATTCACATCCATAACTAAAGTAAGCTAACTCAGATGACCTGTGCGGAATGGTTGAGAACTTACTCGAGTTAGACGGGATTTGTGTGGCCAACCAGCTAACGTCGAAGTCACACTTCGCGGTTAGCACATAAAGTGGATTACACCTTCATTGTATCCGGGCTCGATATCTGCTTCAGTGACTATGTAGCATAAACGACGTTACTCTAGAAACATATTCATAAGAACAGGTACAAAGAACAGAGTGAGACTGTGGTATATGCTACTAATGTCGACAGACATTCAGTGTGCATAGTTATGGTCTAGTTCAGTATGAGTACATTTATCTTCGTTACCATAATATATATAATCGAGAAATTTTAGATTTGTCATGATGTGATCACCTAACTTATATGACACTACGTGAGTCACATCGTCGTCCATACTAACTCATACTATTGTGATCTTCATCAATATAATGTTTAGCGCTTCTAAAGGACACATTTGGGCTGGAGATAAAATAATAAATTCAACGTAAATAGGGATAAGTAACACAGAATGATCGCACCTGTAATGCTGAGCCATGCTGAAACCGATGAATTGTTCCTGCGTTCACCACTTTTAACCTAATCTAAGAGTTACATGTTGAATGCAAGTCTCATTAAATGTATGTTCAGCTTCAAAGATCCTGTGGTTAAAATCCAATACCACCACAAGCGGTTACTGAGAGCTGATGGATAATCTAAGTGTTATAGGCCCTTTCCAAAAGGAGCTCAACCAATGGCTTTGACTTTTAATCTGCTACTGTGACCAAGAAACAGCTGCTGAAATAAAATAGGAGGACGTCCCGGTAAAATTTCGTATCCTAACGGCCAAATTCAAATCTCAACTCTCTCGAACCTACTAGATTCAGCAACCATTCTTACTGAAAGCCTCGTCAACCGATTTAGTTAAAAGTCCCTGTAAAATGTGATCGATAAACGAACCCACCAATAATAAAGGGAAACGCCCACCACCACATTAACTCCTTTTGACCTTGTACGACTGTATCTCTTTATTAACCAATCACAGTTTAATATTCATTGTAAAACAATACTTGCTTGTTGACTCATTTTCCTATTCTCTGGCTACTGTTCGGTATGTTATTTGTCTCTTTTTCCCTGTACTATTAGACTGTACTGTTCGTTTGCACACTAACGATGTTAATTTATGTTTTAGAAACAGATAAAGTTTATATAGCCAAATAGCTTACTTGTTCAGACTTTGGCCAAACCAAGACTCTATATTCGACGGTCTAGAGAATAGCTTAGAATTAAACCTGTAGGAAATTGCTCCCTACAAAGTTTCGAACAGTATCTCATCAAAGTTTCGTACATTGGGTTACTTTAGATGTCTATGGAGAGTCGTAAAACTGATCATATTCCTGAATTGTCTCCTCATTATTCAGAAACCCATAGTGATGACCAGCTCGGAGGAAATACCTACCGAATGGATCCCTTGTTAGAGTTAGAATTAGCTAAAGTACGTTTAGCTCAGACAGAAAAAGAAATCGAGCTAGAACGGTTACGCCAAAAAGGAAGAGAACATTATAATCAAGTTATGGTTGACAAGGCGATGACGTATGAGTCTACATCTGTCGTTGATGTTCCTCCTAGAAAAGACTGGGTAACAATGATGTCTAGAGCTTTAGACCTACCAAAGAAAGAGATTATAAGGTTTGATGGTAACCCTATGAACTATTGGAGCTTCATACGGAATTTTGAGGACTGTTTTGACGAGAGCATTGGGTTCCGATCTAGGTTAAACTATTTGATCCAGTACTGTGATGGTGAAGCTAAAAACACTATTGTTCATTGCGCATTGCTTGAGCCAGAAGAAGGCTATCGTAAAGCACTAGAACTTCTCGAGGAAGCATTTGGTCAGAAGCATATAGTAGCCCATGCATTTATTGATAAGATGCTGAACATCCCTGCCATTAAAGGGACCGATCCATATAATTTAAGAAGGTTGTCTCGTGAGATGCATATTTGTGAGCTAACACTCACGCAGATGAACTATGTATCTGATCTCAATTCTACAAAGACTATCGAATGCATGTTTTTAAAACTCCCGTTACACCTGCAAAGAGAATGGGTTAAAGTTGCGTGTAGAATTCTTAAGACAGGTAGAGAACCTTCATTCAAGGACCTTTGTGAATTTGTGAAAGAGCAGTCAGACATTGCTAATACTAGGTACGGCTTACTTGTCAACCGCGGTAGTAATAGTGGCAATAAAGATGTTGGTGTTTTAAAAAGGAAAATTAGTACAGATTACAATGCAGCAAGAATATCTTATGCGAGTGCTAGTGATGATAATGCTCTCTTACGCAGTTCATCTTGTTTGGAGTGCTCCAGTAATCATTCTTTAGATCAATGTCAGAAATTTAAAGACAAGAATGTTAGAGAAAGGAAGGAATTCGTTCTTAGACACAAGTTGTGTAATGTATGCCTGAAGGCAAACCACGTAGCAAAAAACTGTCGATCGCCGAGGTCGTGTGCTGTCGAAGGGTGTGGCTGGAGACACCATACCCTGTTACACGAGTTGCGGGAAGAACCAAGGAATACTAATATTGATGCACACATTAACCCAGCTATGTACGGAGAAAAGTGTTGAGCGTGTACAGAAACAAGCAGCATTCGCAATAGTGCCTGTACTGGTAAGAAATGGAGAAAAGGTAGCACAGACTTGCGCCTTCTTAGATAGTGGGTCGGATGCCTCGCTTATTACAGAAGATCTAGCTAAAAGGTTGAATTTAGAAGGAGAGCCTAAGACGATTTCGTTGAAAACGTTGGATAACCATTCCACAATTCAGTGTAAAGAGGTTCAACTAGAGGTTTCCTCCTTAGACTCGTCTTCGTCATTTAGAATCCCAAACGTATGGACAGTCGAGAGATTACCTATGTTGCGCAGGACGGTACCAACGACGTCTCAAATGAAATCCTGGACGCATTTAAAAGACATAAGTTTTCCTAGAGTAGAGGATGAGAATGTCAAACTGTTGATAGGGTGCAACGCACCGAGTGTACACGAAATGAAAGAGATAAGAACTGGAAAGCCGAATGAACTATTCGCCGTGAAGACTCCGTTAGGTTGGACGCTGTTCGGTTCCTATAGGGAACCTTGTAAAAGCAATCGTGCACTCAACCACCTCTCAGCTAAAGAGGAATTAGAGGATAAGTTCGAACAGTTGTACTCAACTGAATTCAAAGATCCATTTAGTCGTACTATATCGATGTCTGTAGAAGATCGTATAGCACTCAGTGCTATATCAAATTCAGTACAAAGGTTAAACGGGCACGTAAGGGAACAGTTAAGTATCCCCACTTCGTCAGTCACTTATTGGACCAATTCGACAGTTGTGCTTCATTGCATAAAAAATACGACTAAAAGGTTTGTGAGTAACAGGTTAGAAACTATACACGAGTTGTCTACGCCGAGCCAATGGGGATATGTGAAAGGTAAATTGAATCCTGCAGATCACGCGTCTCGTGGATTATCACTAAATGATAAGGCTAAGGTAAGAGAGTGGTTACAAGGGCCGAGATTCTTGTGGGAGGAAGAAAATAAGTGGCCTAACCTAGAAAAGATTGAGAACACTATAGCCCATGTATTGACAGAGGATTTCGGACTCCAAGACACGATGATGAGTTCCTAGATCGATTTCGTACGTGCAAGTCGTGGTCCAGACTTCTAAGGGTATTTTCATACTGCAGACGGCTTATCAATAATATGTTAAACAAGAGGAACGGAAATCGTCTAACCTTAGGTGCGCTAAGTGCTGAGGATATCGAAAATTCGAAGAGTGACATAATTAAACTAGTCCAAAGTATCGCGTACCCGGCCGAAAAAAGAATTCTAAACAGCTCACCGTTGACGCTCGGAGAAAACGCTTTTAGACAGCAAAAAGGTCAAGAAGCAATGGACGAGGTGAACAGGAGAAAAAAATTAATTCGTCAAAGTTCTATAAGAAATCTCAACCCTTTTATGTTTGAAGGCAAAATCCGCGTGGGAGGACGTTTGCAGTTATCATGTTTACCCTTTGAAACCAAATATCCGATTATTCTTCCTAATAATCATTTTGTTACAGATATGATTATAATGCGTTATCATGTGATTAACGCACATGTTGGAGTTACTCAAACTCTGAGTAGTATTCGTGAGGAGTATTGGATTGTTAGAGGATATTCTACTGTTCGGAAGGTTCTAAAACGATGCTATTTATGTAGAAGACTTTATCCTAAACCATGTTCCCAATTAATGGCACCGTTG